AGATGACCTGGCTAGATGACCTCCCTACCTGCAAATACTTTGAATTGTCCTGCTACGTAAAAATTGGTCTTGGGGGACCAGCAGTTAGCATAATGGCTATGTCACTGGACTCCCATATAGTCGACCATGGTTCGAGTCCTGGACCCGGTGGCTTAAACTCATGCCAGGCACGTGTGCGTGTGTGCCCAAGATCCCGAGAGGAGAATGGAGGAGAAGAGATTGCGGTGTGGCCATCCTCCCTGGGGGGGTGATTTCTCACTTTCTGTCTCTCTGTCTCTCTCTGTCTTTCTGGTGAGCACACGCACCCTATCGCAAAAACCTCTCAAAAAAAAAAAAAAGAAAAAGAAAAAGTAAAAGAAAAAGAAAAAAAAAGTGGTCTTGAGTCTATTGTGATGTTCTAAAATAATAGAAAGTCATTTTTCCCTCTTCAGGGCTTAAGCCCGTACATCAAGACTTCATCAAAGAAGTTGATGAAGTGCCTTAATTGCCATACCCAGCTAGCCCCACTTTTTAATATTATTAAAAACAGTTAAAGGGCCAGCTGGGGGCATGGTGGTTTGGTGGTTAAGGTGGCTGGATCCTATATGGCCAACTATGAAGTTCAAATCCCAGACCCAACAGCTTGTAAAACACACCAGGCACATGTGCATGGATGCCCAAAATCTGGAAAGGAGAATGGAGGAGAAGGGATCATGGCATAGTCATCCTCTCAGTAGGGGCATTTCTCACCATCCCTCTCTTTTCCCCTCTCTCTCTCTCTCTCTGGCAAGTGTACATGCCCTATAGCAAAACTGAAAACAAAAACAAAGAACTTCTAGGAGATTCTCTGAGGTGCCCAGAAACCTCATTTGTTGGCAGAGTCCCTAAAAGCTTAGGTTGCCCTCCTAAGCTGAAATTAAAATTCTCCTTCACAGTCACCAGTGCCATTATCTGCATTGCCCTCTGGTGGCTTCAATGATTACCATAATTGGTGAGGACTCATCCCTAGCTACCTTCTTCCTTCTGTTCAAATGTCCGTTTCTGACTGAAGCTGTTCTAAGCCAAGTGTGGGGAGGCATAATTATTATTGGACTCCACCTTTCTGGAGAAATTTGGTAGGAACTCCTTCATGCTGAACAGAAAGATAGGTGAGTGGCACAACTTTGAGTCACGACCAGCACTGTTCCTTGCTGCAGAGAGAGCTGGCTTTCACAGTTCTTTTTTCTCTAGAATGACCCCTAACATTTTCAAGGGTACCCATCTCACCCTGATGCAAGTGACACTCCTGGTGCCTGCCTCAAGGATGGTCCAAATTATAGCTTGGTGTCTTTCCCACACGACGTATTTGCGTGTGTCTTCCATTTCTCTTGCTGACTATTGACTTGACCTTGTCTCTTAGAGAAGTAGGCACTTCTTTCTCTGAGGGAAAAATGAAGAGACTGACAAAAGTCACTGCAGGAAAATTTTGGAAAGGTGCCAGTCTGGAAGAATCTTCAGAGACAGCTCTGGGCATCTCTGCTTTAACTGATGACACAAGATGTCCTGGTCTCTCTCACATCATGACTGTTTTCCTTTGGCAGCAGACATGGGAATGCACCATAGCTTCCCTCATCCTCCTGTGAATGTACTGCACAGGACTGTGAAAATAACATGGAGAGGAAGCGTGTGATAGTGCTGTGTAAACTGCCGAGGGCTCGGAAAATGTTATTGATTAGAATGGTGATTCCCTCAGGCAGAGTTAATTGCTTCACCCATTTCTTCTGCTTAAACTCAATACACTCTCCTATTTTCCTATTCCAGTCCTTCCTATTTGGTGAACATGTGTGTCTCCATTAGACAATTTGGTGCTACAATCCCATCCTATCTTTCTCTGTTCCCAGCACCATCCCAGACGGTGGCCCACAGGATCCCAATTTACAAATGAAGAAACTGAGGCTCAAGGAAGTTCAGAGAGCTATAAAGTGGTAGACATTGATATGAATTCATATCTTTCAACCGCAGTTCCAGCAATCATGTCATCTTGATATATGATAGTCTGATACACGATACTCAGAAAAAAAAAAAAAAGCCTGATGAATACATTAGTAAGTAAACCCTCCTCTTTAATTCTTTCCTTAGGAAGACTGCTTTGAGACTGCCCAGCCTATCTTCAAATCACTGGACATCTACTAAATACACCAAAGAAATCAACCACCTTGTTCACACAGGAAGTGGTATAGAGCCGAGCAGGGAAATTGCAGAACTGTGAAAAGCGAAAAGTAAACAGATGCAGACCAGGAAGAAACCCTGTGGCAGTCTGAGGGCAGAGGCACATCCGGACAAGGCTCAGCTCACCTCAAGGATAATACACAGCAGTCGTCTTCATGAATTTTTGCTAAAAGATTTTTTTCAAGTATCATTTACTCCCTAGAACGTTTTAAAAGATGATATCTAAAGGGACCAGCAGATGACATAATGGTTATGTTGCTGGACTCCCACATGGCCAACTACAGTTCAAGTCCCAGACCCAGCAGTTTCAAACTCATGCTGAGCGCATGTGCATGAGTACCAAAAATCCTGAGAGGAGAATGGAAGAGAAAGGATTGAGGCATGGCGACCTTTCCTGGGAAGTGATTTCTCATTTTCTCTGGCTCTCTGGTGAGTGCACATATCCTATAGCAAAATTCCCTTTAAAAAAAAAAAACCTGATATCTAAAACTTGTATATGTGTAAATAGTCACAAAATTGTATTATCTAATTTTTTGTGCATTAGGGGACTTCAAAAAGTTCATGGAAAAGGTATAATTAAATTACAAATTGATTTTTGGTGCAAAAACATTTCTGAAATTTATGCATAGTTTTGTCATGATATGCATGGTCCATGAGCCTTTAAAAATCCTTTGTAATTTAAATAGTTTGAATTGTAAATATTTACATATATTTGGAAGATTTGAATATTTTGAACATTTTAATTATTTAAGTATATTTAAATATTTTAATTCTATTTTGGACAATACCATAAACAGCAGAATTGACTTATTAAATTTATAGAAACTATCCACAATAGACCCTAATTAGCCAAACTAACCTCAACATTAAATAAGGCAGCCAAATCATAATTGCCATTAGAAAATATCTGGCTTCATTTTGTATTTCTCTAAATACATTCATACATATATCCTGTCTCCCTGAAAACTTCCTCAAGCCTTAATTCTAAGACAATGCACAGAGGCTTTGGCATGCATTGAACACCAGACTAAGCGAACTGTGGTCTGCTTGTTTGCTTTACTCTCACTAGGCTCTCCTTCTGGAATAATGTGTTCCAAAATCATCCCTATGGGTGATTCCAAGAAATTTCCATATACTTGGGGCAATGCCCTATAGTAGGATTGTGAATGAGTGAGAAGTTTGCCTTCATTTGCTAAAGCAGCAGAACTCAAATGAGTTCTTGGGGAAACGTAAAAGAATTGGAATGGAAGCCAAGGATCTGGAGGTTGGCTCTCTCTGATGGCAATTCTGCCCAGGTGCCCCTGGAAGTCTTCTGGGAGCTTCACTTCCCCACCGTGGACAATGCTCTCCAGATCCTGTTTTCACAGCCTAGTTGCCCATTTCCCAGGACTCAATATTCACTAACAGGCTTCATTGCCACTCCTGAGGCCTTGCTCAGCTTTCTTTTGCTCACCTATTTCCACCTTTTACAGCCACCCTCCAAACTCCTAGTTCTTACCATCTTTCTTCTCATTGTCAAACTCCATTACTTTAGAGAGAGTGATTTTAAAGAGACATTAACCAATTTAATAAAGGTGTCCTTAGCTGATAGCCTACCAGAGTTTTAAGATTACTGTTTGCTTTTTTTCAAAAGAAATTTGTTTATCAAAGGAGTCCTCTCCTGGCTGGAAATTCAGGCTAACGTAAGAGAAAATATTGGTCCTGGGAGGAAATATTCTAGATGATTCCAATGCAATTTAGGACATTTTTTAAATTTAACTTTATTTGTTATTATCATTTATTTGTGTCTTTTAATTTGACCAGAGAGAGACAGAGAATGAGAAAGTAAGCCACCACGTCTAAGACTTGATCCATGGTTGGCCATGTGGAAGTCCAGTGCCCTAAACAGCATGCCACCTGCCAGCCCCTTAAGACCAGTTTCGATCACTGGGAAGCAGTAACTTAAGTGTGGTAGAAGCCTGATAAGCAACATCCTATGTTTTAAATTGGTGGGGAGTGCTAACTGGGAAAAAGTCATCCCTGTCCTGCAGTCAGTTGATAGTGGATACTGCAGTGCTGGAGTAGAGATAGACTGAGACCCACACAAACTTAGTCCCTGCACCATTGGAAATTTCATTAAATCCAAGTCTTAGGGGGTATTTCTAGGCAGTCTTCAGCCTCAGCAAGTTTTATTTTGACAGACTAGAGGAAGATATCCAAAGTGATGAGAGACCCAGGTGATCCTGTCTAGGAACTCATTAAAAACCTGCGGTTCTGTGGGTTATTTCAGGTCATGCTGCATACCCCTGAGACTGAAGTTGTCCAGTTATAAAAAAGAAAAAGGCCAAAAAGATACTCCTTTCTCTCTGATACACGGTAAATTTGGAGAAGTTTTCTGAGTCTAAAGATTGGAGTCTTGCCTTCCAAAACGGGGTAAAGATTTCTGCCACTTGGTTTCACTAATTCAGCAAATAACTCTTCAAACGAAATCCCTATCTCTGTATGTAGATATGAAGATTCACAGAAAGAACAGCAAGAAGATGTCTTTTGAATTCCACTGTAAACATGACATTCAAATGACCTGACCAGACAGCACTAGAATTCAAATAGAATGAAAGAAAACCTGCCATTACAATCAGAAAGATAAATGAGTGTGAAAAATCTGCTCTTCCACTGCCCTGCACCCCTGTTACTTATTTTCATGATAAACAGCAGGTTAATAAACATCTGTTCTTTCTCAATGTCCACAGGATCTTGTTTGCAAACATCAACAACCATCGCTTTGTTCTCTCGGGAGAAAGCAAAACACTATCAATCAAAGCAAAGCTACATACCCAGACCTGCTGCAGCAGCTGCTTGTTCAAAACCGCATGTCATTCCCCTGCAAGCCAGAGTGCCGGACGCTTTTGGATCCTCTGTCCTGCTCTTCTGAGCAGAGCTGCAGGTTAACTCTTGGAGGCTGGATACTCTAACCAGGGAAGCCAAGGCTCGCCAACTTACCCAATTGCGTGCTGACTCATGCCCAGGGCAGGACGCACCCCTGCTGAGCCTGCTCATGGGCGAACCCCTGCACCATCCTTGAGAGGTCACACCTGGAGTTCATCATCTTGCATCCTGCAGAAACACACCTTAAGAAGCAGTCATTCATTTTCTCAGATCAACCTGCTGGTCCTATCTAATTTCAGAAATATTTAGTTCCTTCCCCATCATATCAACGAGAGAAAACTTTACACAGCAAAGCAGCATAGAGATGTAAGTTAAGACTGTTTTAGATGAATGAGCTCAGATCTGGGAGAGGAGATTCTCCTCCCCTTTTCTAGAAAGGTTACAACTAATGGAGGAAATTGCACGTAGTCGCCTTGGTAGTTTGGGAAAACAAAGAGGAAAGTATTTCCATTTTCCCTGGCGTCCTTCCCAGGCAAAACTAAAACTTGACTTCCTGCAGTATTGCCTGTATTTTCATCTACATGGAAGTTACTAGAATCTCTGGGGAGAAGTGCATTCTTCTAACTCTTTGGGACACAGATTAGTAGACATCAAAGACAATGAAAAGAAAGCAAAGACTTTGATTGATTGATCAGGTTTTTGAAGCCCAGTCATTCTACCTTTGGTACCACAGAGAAGGCTCGGCAGCCTGGAACTCCTGAGGAAATGTAGTACCACTTCTCTAGTTACTGGTGGATCACTTATAACAGCCATCTGTTGCCTCCTAGTTTAGGGCAAATCTCTGGTTTTCTTGAGACCATACCAGAGTCCACTGTGAGACTCTGAAGAGGATATTGAGTTCAAGGCAGGTAGAAGTGGTACGTGTTTGTTAAAAAAATGAATTGTTGGGACCAGCAATTAGCGTAATGGCTATGCTGCTGAACTCCCATGTAGTCAACCGCAGTTCAAGTCCCAGACCCAGTGGCTTAAACTCACACCAGGTGCGGGTGCGTGCATGCCCAAGATCCTGAGAGGAGAATGGAAGAGAAGGGATTGCAGCGTGGCCATCCTCCCTGGGGGGGTGATTTCTCGCTTTCTGTCTCTCTCTGTCTTTCTGGCTAGTGCACTCACCCTTTAGCAAAAAACCTCTTCAAAAAAAATAAATAAATAAAAGCATTGTTGAAGGTAGGTGCTATGGTTAAATATGTTCCCCCTCAGACTTCATGTGTTAGTAACTTAATCCCCAGAACAACAGTGTTCAAAAAGTGGGACCAGGTGGGACTTTAAGAGGTGATTGAGGGAACCAGCAGTTAGCGTAATGGCTATGTCGCTGGATTCCCACGTAGTCGACCGCGGTTCGTGTCCCGGACCCGGTGGCTTAAAACTCATGCCGGGCGCGTGTGCGTGCGTGCCCAAGATCCCAAGAGGAGAATGGAGGAGAAGGGATTGCGGTGTGACCATCCCCCCTGGGGGGTGATTTCTCGCTTTCTGTCTCTATGTCTCTCTCTGTCTGTCTGGTGAGCGCACACGCCCTACAGTGAAAATCTCTCAAAAAAAAAAGAGGGGATTGAGTCATGAGGGCTCTGCCTTCATGAAGGGATTAATCCATTGGTGGATTAGTGTGCTAATGGGTTAATGGGTTTTTGTAGGAATGAGTGCTCAGAGAGTAAGGTTTTAGAAAACCAAGCTCAGTTGTCCTCTGCAGTTGCTTCTGCACCTCTTCTTGCCCTTTAGCCTTGTGATGCCTTTGCTGTGTTCTCATGCAAAGGAAAGCCCTCACCAGATGCCGGCACCATGCTTTTTCATTTCCTAGTCTCCAAAACTGTGAGCCAAATAAACCTCTGTTCTTAATAAATTACCCAGTCTGTGATATTCAGTTATAGCAACAGAAAATGGACTCAGACAATAGGCATAAAACAGACATGCATCCCTGTGGGGATTGGAAGTTAGGGAGTTACTACCAAATCTTCTCTTCCCACAGGTTCTCTCTCCTTTCCACTTAGCTTCAGGGTTGCCAGTTGAGGTTTATTAGCTACTAATTGGGCTCCAAGGCTCTGAAGTTTCCTTTGCCTAAAGTACATCTTCCTTGGGGGCCTAGAAGTTCCAGAAAAGGGAGTGCAGATCCATCTGTGTACAAAGCACAGCATGTGAACTGAAGGTATACTAATAACGATGGTGCCAACAGTAGTAGCAGCCACTGTGTTTAATGCTGACTCTATGCCAGCAAGTGTTCTGATTGCTTTACATATGCCCTATCACAAGAACCTCTAGCTTTTCAACAAAATCCATGTTCTCTTCTTCTTCCCAGACTCCCTTGGAATCGAGATTTGAATAATGAAAAGTGAGCAGAAGTAATATGTACCAATCCCATTCTTGGTCTATTAAGCTTTCCCCATGTGTAATCTTCCAGGTTGCAGGCACAGCTTGGAGGGAGAGGTCCACAGTGACCTTGGAGGCTACAGGAAGAAAAAAGTAAAAAGATTCCATCAAGATAAATGACCACGGAACCAGTTAGTAGTGTGGTAGCTGAGGTGCTTGCTGAATTCCCACACGGCTGGCCATTTTGAGTCCTGAACCCATCAAGTTGAAAATTATACTAAGTGTATCTGTGAGTGTGTGTGCCTAAAATCCTGAAAGAATGGAGAAGAAGGGATTATAGTGTTGCCATCCCCATTTGGGGATGATTTCTCACTTTTCTTCTCTCTCTCTCTCCGTTTCTTTCTAGTGAATGCACACACCCTATGACAAAAACAAAGAAAAGAAAAGATGAACAACTATGTGGAAGAGAGCTGACCTTTGTAACTATTTTTAGATTATAGGAAAAAGAGTAAGATGCCAATCTAAAAATTTGTTTCCCAGAATTCTTTTAGGGATATGGAAACAAAAAAGAATTTGAAGACCACTTGTCCTCAAGACAAACAACTAGAGTCTTAAAGCAGTTTTCACCCAAGCCCAAGCCCTTTGTTTTATATGTGTCTCTGACATCTCTCCTGGTCATTCTCTCACTCCAGCCATGTGGGTCTCTTTATGATTTCAGTATTTCTTCTTTCCTATCTCTCCTCAAACTTTGATTCTCTTCAAGAACATTTTCCCAATGAGTCCCCTCTTATAAGTAGATCTTACTTCACTGCTAAGACAGTCCAAAAACATGACCACAAATTCTTTTTTTTTAAGTTTATTTATTTCTTCCATGTGGGAAAACCCTTAATGGAGTCCCCATGCTGAAATCTTTCCTTAGATCACAGGCATGCATGTGTGTACCTGGCATGCTCAGGGAGGCCCCAGGATGCAAACCCAGGACCTTTCCCATGTGGATTCAGTTCCATTATCACTGTGCCACCACTTGGCTCATAGCTGCAAATTCTTTGACACTCTGTCCATCAAGAGGTGAAAATCTTTGTCCTCTCCCCTTGAATCTGGGCAGGCTTCTGACTGATTATTAATAGAGAACATGAAGTGATACCAGGTGGTTTTTGAGGCTGGATCACAAAAGGCCTTGTAGCTTCTATCATATTTCCTGGAAAACTCATTCTTAGCATCCTGAGTCACTATGTTAAGATGTCTAGAAAACCTGAGGCTGCCACATAGGAGGGAGTTTGGTCACTGCCCCAGCTGAAGTCATCCTTTTAACCTTCCCCACTAGAGTACAGCTATGTGAATGAAACAGCCTTAGACCTTCCAAACCAGCTCATTCACCATCTGAATAATGAGTGAACCCCATGAATTCCATATGGAACATTTGGCACCCAGCCAAGTCCACTACTGAAATTCCTGACCCACAAAGCCATGAACTATAATAAAATGGCTGTTGTTCTAGCCACTATGTTTTTTATTTTTACATAAAAGTAGATAACTAAAACACTCTTTTTCAAATCCATATTTTTCAGGAAGAGTTCTCTGATCATTCTACCCATCTACATCTCTGAGTTGTCCAATCCTTTTATATTTTGGTCTTGAATGATTTCCTTTTTTTTTTTTTTTTTAAAGGGAGTGGTCTTATTCCACCTGGATTCCAAGATTCTTTTTTTTAAGAGAAAAATTTTTGCTATAGTATGTGTGCCTATAGCAAAAAGAGAGAGACAGACAGACAGAAAGGCAGAAAGTGAGAAATCACCCCCCAAGAGGGGTGGCCAGTTCTTTCTCCTCTATTCTCCTCTCAGGATTTCAGGCATACATGAACACATGCCCAGTGTGAGTTTTAAGCTGCTGGGTCCAGGACTCAAACCATGGTCGACCACATGGGAGTCCAGCAATGTAACCATTACACCAACTGCTGGTCTCAGATTCTTTATTTCACTATATCCCTTTGTAGCACCTTCTTTAATAGAGCTTTGATGAATGTTTGTTGACTGATAGGAACAGTACTCACGTAACTTGAAGCGTATTTATAACTGAGGTGGAAATGATGCCCCTAACAGGTTTTCTTCTTGCTGGCCACCTTAGTCTTGATTGTGAAGGTTAGGTAGGATTCATCAAATCTGATATTTATTCATTTTTTAAAAATTAAGTGCATACTATTGACCAAGTAATAGAGTAATGAACAAAATTAAGTTCTTTTCATGGTGCTTCCATTTTAAATAAAGAAAGATGAAATTAAAAATAAAATTAATATAACTTGTTAACTTACAAGTGATAAAAAGAAAATAAAGCAGGATAAGAAGTGGAAAGTTTGTTTTATACAGCATAATTAGAGGTGGCTTCTTCAGTGTCTATTTCCATAGTCACCTGAAGGAAGGGAGGAGAGAGCTGTAAGCTATGTTTAAGGCTGGGGAAGAATTCCAGGAAAAAGAGTAGCAAGCACAAAGGTTGAAAACCATGTCTGGTGACCAGCAGCTGGCGTGGTGGTTGGGATGCTAGACTCCCCCATGGTTCAGGTCCCAGACCTGGTGGCTTCTGTCTCACTTTCGCTCGCTCTCTCTCTCTCTCTCTCTTTCTCATGCCCTATGGAAAATTTTTAAAAATAATAATAAATAAAATTAATTATTAAAAAGAAAACCATGTTTGGTCAGTTGAAAGAAGATGGGCAGGGTAACTTGAGAAGAGGGAACAAAATAAGTAGCAATGGGAGGGTGGTCAAGAGTTCAAGGTGGAGGTGCAGGGAATGGAGGTCAGGAAGGGCCTTAGAGACCAAGGCAAGAACTTAGGAGTTTGCACCAAATGTGATAGGAAGTCATTAGAGATTTTTTTTTAGCACCACAGTGGTATGATCTAGCTTTTAGAAGGCTTCCTGTATTGTCTAGAACCTAGATTCTATGCAGAAAACACACTGCAGAGAAGCAAGGTTAGATAGAAGCAGTGAGACTAATTTGGAGGCTTTTCCAATATCCAATCAGGAAACTTACTCTAGAGAGCTAGAAATGGAGGTGAGGTTAAGTGCCCACACTATACATGCTTTGAAGGCACAGTCACCGGATTTCCTGTTGAGTTAGGATATGAAAGAAACAGAAGAATGAATCCAAAACTTTTTGGACTGAAAATCTAGTAGAGTTGACACTTTCTGACACAGAAAGCGTGTGCGAGAAGTAAGTTTGTATAACGAAGAGTGTGAGAGAAGTAAGTTTGTATAAAGAAGATTAAGCTGTGGGTATCTCTGCAAAACCATTCTGGAGGGGTTCTTTAACTCAAAACCTCAAATGCCTTACCAAGATTGGATGAAAAGGATAGATTATCTGTCAAGGCAATAATAGACAAAGATATTTCCCAAATTATGACAGGTTTTTAGGTGGGACAGAGAAGACTGTCACTGAGTCTTTTCTTTCTTTCTTTTTTTTTTAACAAGAGTTAAAAAGAGTTATTTTATTTAACTTAATTTGTTTATTTAATTTTGGCCAGAGAAGGACAGAACAAGAGAGAGACAGACAGATAGAGAGAGAGAGAGAGAGAAAGCCGCCAG